GCTTTGAGATCTTTTCCGGGTCATTCGGTCTCAGAATAGAACGAGGCAATACACACAGCAGTAAATTATGTAACACTGCCCTGTCAGACAAAGCCACAAGGACTAATGGGAGAATGAAGAGATGAGACCACATCACCATTCCCCAACAGTGGACTGTTATTATATTCCTTAAATCTTTAAATTACAATTATAATTCCCAGATAGTAAACTCAACTCTCAGGAGATTACTCAGTGTTTACATAGTACTTTATCCTTTTCCTGGGAGAAAGTAAGACTACCTAAATATTTTTCTCTGATCATCACCTTATAAAAAGTAGGTATCTAAAGAATTTAACAAAAATAAAAATAAAAAATAAAAAGCAGACATCAGCAACTATCAACCTACTTACTATCAGACTACTCATTAGCCTTTATCCAAAAAAATGGAAACACTAGAAAAATAACAATAATTGTTTAGCTAGAAGAAAAAACTGAAAAAATAATTATTCAGTGTTAAAGAAGAAAACAAAGAATGCTATCACAAAAATTTTTGTTGTTGTTTGTTTTTTTTTGGTACCGGGGATCAAACTCAGGATCTTGGGCTTGCAAGGCAGGTAAGGCACCACTGAATGATCATAAAAAAAATTTTTTTTTTTTAGTTCTTTTATTTTTTGGTATCAGGGATAGAACTCGGGACCTTGAGCTTTCGAGGCAGGCAGCGGGCACCACTGAGCTAAATCCCCAGCCCTCAATTAAAAATTTTTATGATAGGGGGCCGGGGATTTAGCTCAGTGGTGCCTATGATAGGGGGCCAAGGATTTAGCTCAGTGATGCCTGCTGCCTGCCTCGAAAGCACAAGGTCCCAAGTTCGATCCCTGGTACCAAAAAATAAAAGAACTAAAAAAAAAAAAAATTTTTTTTTTAATGATTGCTACATCAAACAGAAAATTCCCTAAGTTGAAGTACTTCTTTCTTCCTATTTCCCTATCCAACTGGAAAGAGATTTTTGCATTCCAATTAAGATATATTCAAAACAGGGCCTAAAATGAAGAATAAACATAACACAGCATCTTAACTTTTTAAGACAATGATTAAACTGACAGAAAACTTGGACTTAAATTTAACTCAATTGAAAATGCCTTCTAAGCAGGCACAGTAGCACATGCCAGTAGCCCCAGCTATTTTGAACCTGAGGCAAAAAGACCACAAATTCAAGAGCTGGGGATTTAGCTCAGTGGTTTCGCCACCTGCTGTGTAAGTACAAGGACCTGAGTTCAATCCCCAGTACCAAAAAAAAAAAAGAAAAACAAATTCAAGGCCAGCCTGGGCAACTTTGTGAGACCATGTCCCAAAATAAAAAATAAAAACAGGCTGGGAATATAGCTCAGTACAAAGGCCCTAGGTTCAATTTTTAATACAAGAAACAAAAACAAGCCTTCTGTGTTATAAGCACTCTAAAGCCTACAGTCACCAAGATGAGTGAATATGGTCCTTCCCTTGGGGAATACACTGTCCACTGGAGAAGTAGCATCACTATAGATGCTGTAAGGAAGGACTATCATGTACGCTCTTTTTCATCTGAACACAATGAAGGTAGCTAAAATTCTGCAAAGGATGAGGGTTATGTGAGCACAGGGTAGGAGTGGCCTTGGAGTTGAGTCTTTGCACAATGAACTAGGCAGAAAGGAGACTGGGGGCCGGGACGTAGCTCAGTGGCGCTGCACCTGCCTGGCAAGCACAATGTCCTGAGTTCGATCCCCAGCAACGGAAAAAAAAACAACAGAAAAGGGACTGAAGGTAACAGTCCAGGCTACAAAAATGGTCTTCATCTTAAATATCAATACTTATTCTTCTGATGTCTCTAGTAAAAAGACTCCTGCTTCAGGTTGCTCAGGAGCCTCATGTAAAAATCACAATGCCTGGGCCGGGGATTTAGCTCGGTGGTTCCAGTGCCTGCCTCACAAGCGCAAGGTCCTGAGTTCGATCCCCAGTACCAAAAAAAAAAAAAAAAATAAAAAAATAAAACTCACAATGCCCACAAGCTTTCTAGTTTATACTACTGCCCTGTTGTAAAGAAATGGACTTGAAGCTTGATGTGGTGGTCCACACCTATAATCCCAGCACTCAGGAGGCTGAGGCAGGAGGATCTTGAGTTCAGGGCTAGTGTGGGCTACATAATGAGTTCAAGGCTGGCCTGTACTACATAGCAAAACCCTGTTTAAAAAAAAAAAAGACAAGACAAGACTTGGTCATTAATCTATTCAACTGAATAACCAATAGGAAACAAGAAAAGACTTTAAATACTGTCAGTAAAAACAATAATAAAACTATAAAAGCTGAGGGGAAAAAGCTCAACAAAATAAAGATAATTTTAAATAATTCCATATATAGAAAAAATCTGAAAAGTACTTAATTAAAAATACCATTATTGAGCTGGGGATTTAGCTCAGTGGTTTTGCCGCCTCCTGCATAAGCACAAGGACCCGAGTTCCATCCCCGGTACCAAAAAAAACCCAAACCATTATTAAACAGTAATACATAGGACCTTGAGTACTGAGTAGAATAAACTATTTGGTAAAGTACAGGGATTCTTTATTCACCAGCTAACACCTAAATATCAAAACGAGTTGTTATTTCTGAAACATGTGGCCTCTTTCCTTCCTCGAGGTTGTCTACTTTTGGTCTGCGGTCAGCTGGTAATATTTTTAAAAAGTGAGATAAACTTAATAGAACAGGCTATAGTCATTTTATTCAGGAAAAAAAATTTAAATTTGCTTTCTGATACGGATTTTGGATAAGCAGTAATCCAAACCACATAGCTTAATCCAAAAATCTAGGCCCCAGTTACCCTTTATAGTTTCGGAAACTGAGGTTTGTCCTGTCAGATTAGCTGGCAATGATCTCAAGTTCCATCCAGTTCTAAAAGTCTACTCTCTTCAACTCCAAGGAGTTGGCTCTTTTGACACCCTGGAAATTTTACAACCTGCTTTACTGCAAGCTGCATGGAAACCTCACTCCAATTTTAGGGGGAATTAGCCTGTCTACAATGTCTGTCCCAAGATCATCAAAAACCTTATGTGGGGCCGGGGATTTAGCTCAGTAGTTCTGTCGCCTGCCTTGCAAACACAAGGACCTGAGTTCGATCCCTGGTACCAAAAAAAAAAACCTTATGTGGATGCAATAGTTTCTCCTCCAATCTAAAAAGAGGAAATAAAATATAATGGCAAGAAAATATAGCAAGAGCACAGAAAACATAACTTCTCTTTCACTGGTCTAGAAAAACAACCAGCAGGCCTTCATAAGAAAGTAGCAGGCCTGCCAAAAATTGTTCTAGAGGTCATAGAACTGTCCAATTATCAGTGTCCCAATTCTATTCTCTGGACCAAACTTCTGTCTTCTGAAAAAGAAGATGTCACCACCTGCTCTGTTGTTATGGGGATTGGGAATAATATATTAAAGGATCTGCTCTTGGAAACCATCATACAAATGGTAAACAGGCTCAAATGAAAAGCTCATTTGAATCTTTTTACACCTTTCAGTTCATACCATGTAATTATTTCTAGATGTATAAGAACTACAAGTAAACTTAAAATGCTGTGACTATTTAAAGAATTGTATTCTCAGCTGGGTGCAGTGGCAGATGTCTATTATCTCAGCTAGGCTGAGGCTGGAGAATCACAAAGTGGAGGTTAACCTGGGCTATCTGTGCAGGCCCTCTCTCAAAAAATAAAAAGGGCCAGGCATAGTAGCGCACACCTGTAATGCCAGCACTCTGGGAAGCTGAGGCAGGAGGACTGAAAGTTCAAGTCCAGCCTGAGCGATTAGCCAGACCCTGTCTCAAAATAAAAGTGCCAGGAATGTAGCTCAGTGTGAAAGCCCTGGGCTCA